CAGTCCTTTGCCAGAGACTATCTCATTGTTTCGGATTCATAGGTATGTATCAATCATCCATTTGGTCTGACAGTCTTTTGCCAGAGAATAACTTGTTGTTTCCGATCTCATTCTGATGTGTCAAATATCCATTTGGTGAAAATGTCCAAATCATATTAGATGTCTCTGTCAGAGCTGTCTCAAGAATTGCAGTGATTTGAACACTGTCCTTTCACAAGATGCAAAGGATACGTCGGAGTCAATGCAAGTTAACTCTGTTTAGCTTCTTTTCTTGCTGGGAGCATGACGTCTAATTTTCGCTGACGCAGAAATTTGTGCTGATAACAGTCTTATTACAAATATTTCGGTGTGTTCAGTCACCTTGCTTTCACCCAAGGCCCACTTCCTCATCCTCGACATCACTGAGACGGCCATTCAATTGGGGAATCTAGTTCTGCGTCAAACGAGAGGCTGCTCGTCGTAGTAGTCACACGCTATGTGAACATGCTGACAACCCCAATATTGTTGTTGTCTATTGTTATGGAAGTTGCCCCTTGCATTAATAACAGCATCTTGTAATCTATTGCACATTGCTCTTGGAAGCTCTAATTCCATTTAAAGCTTTCTAGCTTGCAGAGTTATCACAGTTCCGTAGGGACCTAGCCACAGAGATCATCCCAATAGAGTTACACTCGGAGCAGTCATTGGTCTTGTTCCGTAATAGTCAAATAATGAGAGTAGATCACGTTCTACAGTTCCTCCCATTTCTTCTGCGCACTCGTGCAACGGTAGCACAGGTAGGGAAATTTCTCCAGCAGTCTCTGGCCATTGTCTTTAATCTTCCCAGTTCCATAACGTCCAAAACATTTTGGCATCTATAAGCTCCAAGCACAAACAAAAGGAAGAGGTTGTGTCGGGACAACAATTATTTAGGCGAGCTGACCAATTGCGTCTGTAGTAGACATATTACATGTATTGCAATTCATTAAAGCAGCAGAGAAAACGAACCTCTTTCTAGGAAAACATTATGCATGCAGCTGGAGCTTTTAGTTAAAGTAACGCATGAAGTACTGTAATCTTTTGTCCCGGTCGGGTTGGGTGAATTCAGTTGGGTTGGGTGTAGAGGGTCCGACATCATTGCCAATTTTTATTAGTATGTAAAAAGCAGGTTGACTCAATCGCAAGGATTGTTTAAATAATTTCTATCCCTCCCTTTCACCACCCTGGAAGTAACTCACAACCACAAAATAAAACGATCCTTTCCCGTTCTTTTCTTAACATAGGCGTAGTTCTATTAGATTGATATACCCCACGTTAGTACAGCAATATATTGATCTGCAGCTTGTCATCGTATAAAAGGTGTTGATTAGTGGCCGCACGACGCTAAGAATTCATAATATGGAAATACACAAGCATATGTATATTTCTCCTTGTACTCATCTCCTACTGTCACGTAAGACGAACGTTTGTACGCAGCTCCTATATGAAAGATAGTAGTGAACATTGTTCCCGTGTCGCGACATTTAGTGTAGTGAAAGCATTGTAGAGTCTTCAAACAATTTATCAATTTGTACATGCATGTTGTAACTACATAGCACCTAAGTTTCTTTTTCCCACGAGTACAAAGTTTAATCTTACAAAAATTTTTAAACCTGAAAGCCAATTTCTTAACCGAAAAAAGAAAGATAAGGAAAACGTGTGGTTTAGAAATGAACTTGTGAACAGTATTGGAATCACAAACCTATGGAGATACCGGGAGTAGAAACCGGGGACTTTCACTTGCGATGCGAACGCACTACCGCTGAGCTATATCCCCAACTACAAGTTCAGGATGATGCTTTATATCTGACAAACGTTTATGATCAAGTACCGGTATTCACTGAAATCGTATTTTGAGAAAAATGACGGAAAGACCATCATTTTGTAACCTTTCCATTATCTCTCATTGATAGCATATAGGTAAATGAATGACTATGAATTCCCCTTTCCTATGTAATGAAAATGTATTTTATGATTTAATTATGAGAAAGAACACAATTGCGTGTATGACTAGACAATGAATAGCCTCAATTTGGAAATGAATAAGAAATAGATTGTTCCTTTGAAACAATAAAGGATGATGGTTAGGTTTGCAACAAAAAATACCCTGAATGGAATAATTTATTTCAAAGGTCCCCTCTTGGGACTTGACCTACGTTTTGCATGGTACGAACTCTGAATGTAACGAGCTAATTTATAGAAATTTATATTTGATGTTTACAAGATTGTTTGATTGTGGAAAGAGTCTCGTGCACAGTTTAGGATCAGCATAGCATCCCTTGCCTCATATATCAGGCCTGATTGCCATGCACATGTAGTAGGTGAATCCACAATTTGCTGGAGACTCATTTGGCCACACCTCCGTCAACAAATGCGAAAGAGAAACACAGTGAAGAAAACAAAGACTGAAAAAAAACACACAAAGAAACCATGAGTACAACTATACTACCCAGGAAAGTAGCACACACCTTACGATCTTGATCCTATTTGTATATGGACTAAATAACAGTTCCGTTACGATATTCACTCAAAGCAATGTAAAAGTAGCGTTTATTCTTCATTTTCAATGAATCAATAGTTCAGTTTTCATGTCCACTGTAAAGTCTCCGTTTGTCACACAATAAGTAAGTGAATAATTTGGAAATATCTAGCTCTGCCATGCATTTGAGATATGTTTTAGAACATTTCTAAAGGAGATATCAGACCTGTAAGGAAAATTGTCATTTTGATAATCTTCTTAAAGACACACTGAACTATATGTATTCCTGAGTGTTTAGCTAGGTTTTATTCAAGAGTCGGGATTATCTTCCATGCATACTGAGGAAAGAGACTCATAACGGTAAGATTTCAATGCATTCTGAAGGAAAAGATTCATAACGCGAATAATGCCGATGAATAACGTGAAAGAGATTCATAGAGGACTTGATCATCGAATCAGTGGCGTCACTGGGGGGGGGGCGGACAGCACCAACTGATATTAAAATGACTGTCGATAAAAATTTTGATTTCTTCTGTAGGACATGGTTTTAATGGGGGTGACACCATGAGTTTCCGCACATGATTGTGGGGGTGATACCGTGAGTTAGCGCACATAACTGTCCATACAATTTTTGAATTTTTGTGCATGATTAAGGTCCATGGGGCTGACACCATAATTTATTACACTGGATGGCATCAACTCTGGTCACGCCACTCCATCAAATGATAAAATCCTTTTGTTATTGTATCTCTAAATAATCAATTTATTTACTCCTCTTACTTAGAGTCACAGCCTCATTTCTGGATAAAATAACTGCAATCGAGCTTGACAATAAAGTATCTATTAGGCTTACTACACTTCTGCTTTGGTCTGCGCATTCAGCTTGTCACTCCAAGCCTTTTTATCCAGCTGGAACATCTTTGAGATGGCATTTCGAACAAGGGAATCGAATTCTACCTTAATCTAATTGTTTGTGATGGTAGGCACAAGGCATGATGTTGACAAACTCAATGTCGCAATTGTTGATAATAACGAAATGTGGTTGTTAAACATCTTGACAAATGAACACTGTCTTTTTCATACTGGTGGTAATTCTGGAGTTCTGGAAAGCTTGTGAGAATAGGTCTCAGACGTTTTGGATTCACATTCTGTTCGTTATCTACTTTGCGGTAAAGAACCGTTAGTAGGCAGATATGTTCTTGTTTCGGAATTCTGTTCATTGTGGCTTTACTGCATGATTCAACTGGTCCTTTTTTTCGGAGAACGAGTGGAGTGTAAGGGTGGTGGTTGACGTGGCTCTCGAACGTTATTAGGCGGAGTACAAAGGTTTTAGCCGAACCCCTTGTGGGAGGATCGATCATTTAGAAGAGCGTCACATTGAATGAGAAACCTATGTTTTATTTTCTTTTTCTTGTAGATTCATCTTGGCCAGAAGAAGGTGTGGTCTTTCTCTCTAATCGATCCAGCCAAATGCGAATCCTGCTTCTTGGAGTGTTGCAATGTCAACGTTAAGTATTTTCAGCTCGACACTGATCACAGCAGTTTGCGCGTATCCATTGATCCATTGGCGGTCTTTGGACAGGCCAGATGTCATAGTTCTGACATTCCGGCATGATTTTATTTGGGCTGGTTTCTTCTCTTTTATTGTCCTTGTTTTACCTGGTGCAATAGTTGTAGTCCATTTGTCGAGCGTAGACTCTAAGCTCCAAGCACAAAGAAAAGGAAGAGGGTGTGTCGGGGCAACAATTATTCTTGCGAGTTGCCCAATTGCCTCTGTAGTAGATATATTACATGGATTGCAATTCATTAAGGCACCAAAGAAAACCAACCTCTTTCTAGCAAAACATTATGCATGCAGCTGGATTAGCTCGGCTTATTGTTAAAGTAACGCATGACGTAAACTTTTGTCCCAGTCGGCTTTGGTAGATTCAGTTGGGATGGGTGTAGAGTCTGACATCATTGCCAATTTATATTAGTAGGTAAAAAGAAGGTTGACTCAATCGCAAGGATTGTTTAAGTGATATCATTCCTTCCCTTCCACCCCCCTGGAAGTAACTCACAGTCACAAAATAAAACGATCCTTTCCCGTTCTTCCCTGAACATAGGTTCAGTTCTATTAGTGTTGATTAGTGGCCGCACGACGCTAAGAATTCATAAGATGGAAATACACTTGCATATGTATGTTTCTCCTTGTACCCATCTCCTGCTGTCAGGTAAAACGAATGTTTGTACGCAGCTACTATTTGAAAGATAGTAGCGAACATTGTTCCCGTGTCGCGACATTTAGTGTAGTGAAAGCATTGTAGAGTCTTCAAACAATTTATCAATTTGTACATGCATGTCGTAACTACATACCATCTAAGTTTCGTTTTCGCACGAGTACAAAGTTCAATCTTAAAAGATTTTTCAACGTGAAAGCCAATTTCTCAACAGAAAAAAGAAAGAAAAGAAAAACGTGTGGTTTAGAAATGAACCTGTGAACTGCATTGGAATCTTAAACCTATGGAAATACCGGGAGTCGAACCCGGAACCTTTCACTTGCCATGCGAACGCGCTAACGTTGAGCTATATCCCCATCTGTAGCTTAAAGGTGATATTTTATATCTGTCAAACGTCTATGATCAAGTACCGGTTATCGCTGAAGTCGTGTTTTGAGAAAAATGACGGAAAGATCGTCATTTTATATCCTTTTTATTATCTCTCATTGATGGAATATAGGTGAATGAATGATTATAAATTCCTCTTTTCTATGTAATGAAGATGTATTTTATGATTTAATAATGAGAAAGGACATAATTGCGGGTATGACTAGACAATGAATTGCCTCCATTTAGAAATGAATATAGAAATGTGTTGGTTCACTGACACAATCAAAGATGACGGTTACGTTTGCAAAAAACTTAATGTTTTCAAAGGCTCGCTTTAAAATATTCACGTAATCAACTAATTTATTGAAATTTATATTTAATGTCTACAACATTTCCTTTCCCGGTTTTTCTTTAACATAGGTGTACGTTTAATGAGACTGATATCCATCATAGTTAGTGCACCAATATATTGATATGCAGCTTGTCAATGTATAAAGGGAGTTGAGTAGTAGGCGCACAACGGTAAGAATTTATAAGATGGAACTAATGTTGCATCTCTATCTTTCTAAGTGTACCCGATCGCAGGTTGTCAGGTAAGATGAAAATTTGCATACAATTTCTATTTGAAAGATGGTAGTGAACATTGTTCCCGTGTCGTGACATTTAGTGTAGTGAAATTATTGTAAAATCAGTGAAATCAATTTATACATACATGCTGTAACTACATAGCATCTAAGTTTCTATTTCCTACGAGTACAAAGTAAAATTTTAAAAAGATTTTAAAAAAATGGAACCCAATTTACCCAAAGAAAAATAAAGGTAACGAAAACGTTTGTTTTAGAAATGAACCAGTGAACATAATTGGAAATCCAAAACTATGGAGATATCGGGAATCGAACCCGAAGCCTTTCACTTGCGATGCGAACGCTCTAACCTCTGAGCTATATCCCCAACTACAAGTTCAGG